TCTCTCTCTCTCTCTCTCTCTCTCTCTCTCTCTCTCTCTCTCTGTCTCTCTCTCTCTCTCTCACTCTCTCTCCGCGTCTATTTCAGAATTTCTCTCTCTTCTCATCATTATTTGACGTTTTCACTCCACCCTGCTCTACCATTTTTAGTTGCCACTGGCACACAGGTTGTCCAGTCCAAGTGACTGGGTTTCTCTGTAACACACAACACAGGGTCGCTATGTGTTTCTAACAGCACATACAATTCGCAAGCCATCCTATAGTCCTACCGGGGATGAACATTAAATCGATGGCCCCGCCTCACAATGACCTTTTTAGTGTTTATTTGGGGGTAAGACCCAGACCATACCACACACACAATATTTCGGTTAGTATCATCCCGCTCTTCCTCTTTGCCCATGTCTATTTGGGTAAAGAGAAGCACTTCGGAACAATAATGGTCATTCAGTGCAGGTGAAAAGCAATTTGACAGACTGAAAGAAACTACACAGAAGAAACATGTACACCCATCTAGACCATTATATTATGGCTCCTCAGTTTATTACTTCGCCAGACCGCATATTGGTAGGCTACTTGGTAAATCTACAGAGATACGTTATTAAAACGCATGCAGTAGTGATAGGTGTTTAACAGGATGCGACGCTGTCTCTCAACGGGGAGGACCGGGTCATTAGAAACAGGTCAGTTACAGGAATTGATATTACGAGGTTTGGGATTTGGGACAGTGATCAATCCCTTCACCTAGAACCTTTTGCTTGACCATACTATGCCAGGTGCAACGGAGATCGACTCACTGCTTGATAGAGCAACTTCATTTCTCATTGGCTTCATAGGTGCAACATGTTTAAAAATTACACTCTCTAAACAAACAGACCAACAAAGGCAGAAGAACATGTCACGAACACAAAATTAAAATTAGCAGTGAGGAAAGTTTGAAAACAGGATTTCTTGGAAATGTTGCCCTGTAATTGTGTCTTAAACTGTGCAATTCTAGAAAAAATAGTATTATCCAGTATTGCTTATTCGTTCAAATGTACCACTTTCTACAAGTTGCCCCACTCCCCCCGCCCCCTCTTTTTTTTTTCGTTTTCTTTTCACACACATATTTTCATAAAAAGAACCCTACCGAGCTACGTCACTTCCGCGATACCATGAGCCGCGATCTGGGTGAAGTCTTGGCCTACCTAAATGCTTCCAGTCTTGAATACATGGATTACTCGTGTCTTCTTATGTAACATCATAATGTACATTATGGAAATCCCCGCATCATGCTCGTGTACAGATAATGCTTTGATTGCACCACTTTTGAGCTCTTTTGTTTGTTTGTTGTTAGTTGAGGTTTTACGGCGCTCGCAACTGCATAATAAGGTCATATGAGCGCCAAGGGGTGGATATCAACAGAGAAGTCCTTACAGTACAGGGAATCAGACATAGGCCTACTCTGCTCACCTCTCTAGCTTCAACAGCACAAAGTCTTCTTCGACTATCAAGGCATCCCGGAAATAACGGGTCACAAGAGTGTGACAAACATACAAAAGAAGTAGCGGAAAATGACGATAGTAAGGGTTAGGAAAGAA